TCACTTGGGTTGTTACCGACATCTGGTGAAAATTTCATGTCATTAGCACCTCTAGTAATATATTTACTGAGAAAAATGGTGACATGTTCAATACTTATTTTACCCGCTGTATTGTCATCTAGTGGATAAGTGACACACACATGAACAAATTGTGACAGTTTTCACCCTCAGCTGTTAACATTAACATTGATCAACAACATTTATAGACCTCAGTTAGTGCTTCTAAATTTAGCCTATAAATTTAGTAAGTGCTAAACCACTAATGAATTTTAAAATTAGCAAAAGCCCTAAAGCACTAATCAGGAAATTAGTTCCCCTCTTAGTGCTTTAGGGGAACTGTGCTCACTACTGAATATTAGTATTATAAATATAAAATAATAAAATTAGCGTAAAAGCAATATTTGAAGAACTAATGGACCTGCAGTAGTTGCATGTTTATCATGTTTATTACACCATTGTTTGATTTCTGACAAGAATAATATTAAAAACATGTTTATAGAAATTAAAAAACATTAACAACACATCCACTTGAAACTTTAAATTTTTATAACACCAGATTTTTATTTACCGTATTTCTTTCTCTTGCTTTGTCCGCCAGTACTTGCAGGAAAAAAATCTCTGGTCGGTCCGCAATGCATTATGGGATATGGGGGACCAAGAAGGATCCAACGGACAAGTCCTTTGGGATTTCTTTGGATTTGACTGTTAGAAAATTAAAAGTGTCTTGCAGTGGAAACAGGTAATTGAATAGGTGGAATACTTCTCAAAGGACTCATTGACAAGTTAGCTTCTCTTAGTAGTTCCTGTGAAAAACAAGTCGTAGCCAGGTAGCACGAGGTACACTTCGCTGCAGCATGCAGAATGGGGCGGGGACGGACCTTTCCGTCAGTCCCATACCTTATATGGAAATGGGACTATTGCATTCTGGAAATGAAGGTTGCTCCTTAAAGACGCGGGATTAAGAGAGCAAAGGAAGAAGAAAACCCTAACCCTAACCCTAACCCTAACCCTAACCCTAACCCTAACCCTAACCGTTACTGCAATATAATTTTAATATCCAAAAACAACAAAGATCTAATAAAGATTTGAAAATGAAAAAGGGACATACCACGTGACATAACACGTTTTGTAGCCATTTCCTTACTGTAAAATTTGTATTTTTAATGTTGATAGTGTTCTATGGTGTTTTGAAAGGCGTTGTGAAATAAAATGCGTTAATATTATAATAATTATTATAACACGGTTGGTACGGGAAATGTTAAATTTGTATTTTTAATGTTGAAAGTGTTCGATAGAAAATAGTGTCACTAGCGCCCCCTTCATKTTCGGAATGCAATAGTCCCATTTCCATATAAGGTATGGGACTGACGGAAAGGTCCGTCAC